CACCCTGTTCAGCAAGTACCTTCTTGTGGTTTACCCTTCAGATGCACTTAAATCTCCCCATGCTCTGTACAGAAAGTCAAGGTGCCTAACTTAAGGGCCTGAATTCTTCTCATGGCATCTCTTAGAGGTGTAATAGAGGTTTGCTAGCAAGGAGGACATATAGCAGTAATTTATACACCAGTTACAGGTAAAGGCATGATACAATGTATAGAATGAGCCTGGAAAGGCATGCTAGTATAAAAGTTCTTGTAAGTAGGAAGTACTGTATTGAGAAGAAATAATAAGAACCAGAAGAAAGATGCTTCTGAGAAAGGGATTGCTTGAGCATTGTGCATATTATCACATCTGATAGAAACATCCTCATGTTACAGTATAACAAGTCAGATTCAAAACTCTTCTGCTTATCAAATATTATGCACAGTAACATGTTAAGTTTCCAGTAAGGTGAGGTGCATCTTGCTGTATTTACTTGCTAATTTATTGTTTTCTTTTAGAGGCAAAATCTCTATAATTAACTCCTATATACGTTATGCCTGAACAAGAGATGTTGCCTTACTTCTAGGGATAGGCTAAGGAAGCATTGTGCCTGTAGCCAGTCACAATTCAAAATTTCCATTTTTGTGGGAGTTTTCAAAATTATTTTCATTCTACATTGGAATGAAAAGATTTTTAATGGAATTATTAGAAAACTTCAGGTGCAGAAACTTGCATATCTGGATTTTGAAAACCAGTGTTTGAAATATCATCCTTTTTTTTCAGAAATTCACATTTTTCATTTCAGCCTTTGTTTTTAGTTTTAACTGCAGGTATTAGAGATGCACAATATGACAAGTGTAATCCCAGTTGGCTTGGTTACTTAGGATAGAGAGTCAAGAGCGATTGGATGTAATGCTATAGCTACATCACTTCCTTCTGTATTATTGTCTATAGAAACTGGTATGTTATCACCATTCTAGCCCTAATAACTGCTAGGCTCAGCTGGACTTTTATCCTTTTTTGGGTACCAACAAGTCATGATATAGCACAATAGTTTAAATATTCTTTTAGAGCTGTTTTTAATTTTATTTTATTTTATTATTTCATTAAAGAGCTACAGCTAGTAAATACTGTGTAATACTGAATAAAATCTATTTTTTTATTTAATATCTCCTGATTGTGTTGTAATGAAACAGTTTGACACAACTATCTCTGTGGACATGGGGAGACCAGTAGATGTGGTATACCTTGATTTTAGCAAAACTTTTCATGCAGTCTCCCACAACATTCTTGCAGGTGAGCTAAGGAAGTACAGGCTGGGTGAATGAATTGTAAGGTGGATAGAAAACTGGCTGGATCATCAGGCTCAAAGGGTAGTAATCAATGGCTCAATATCTAGTTGGCAGCTGTTATCAAGTGGAGTGCCCCAGGGTTTGGTCCTGGGGCCAGTTTTGTTTAATATCTTCATCAATGACCTGGAAGATGGCACAGAGCACACCCCGAGCAAGTTTTTAGATGACACCAAGGTGGGAGAAATAGTAGATATGCTGGAGGGTAGGGCTAGGATTCAGAGTGACCTAGGTAAATTGGAGGATTGGGCCAAAAGAAATCTCATGAGTTTCAACAAGGACAAGTGCAATGTCCTGCACTTAGGACGAAACAAACTCATGCACTGGTACAGGCTAGGAGCTGACAGGCTGGGCAGGAATTTTGCAATAAAAGGAACTTGGGGGTTACAGTGCACCTGAGGATTATAATAAGCTGAATATGAGCCAGCAGTGTGCCCTTGTTGCCAAGAAGGCTAATGGCATACTGGGCTGCATTGGTAGGTGCGTTGCCAGTAGGTCAAGGGAAGTGATTCTTCCCCTCTATTCAGCACTGGTAAAGCTGCATCTGGAGTACTGTGTTCAGTTTGCTCCCCCCACCCCGAGAGGATGTGGACAAATTGGAGACAGTCTGGCAGAGGCCAACAAAATGGTTAGGGTCTGGGGTACATGACTAATGAGGAGAAGCTGAGGGAACTGGGCTTATTTAGTTTGGAGAAGAGAAGACTGAGAGGGTATTTAATAGCAGCCTTCAACTACCTGAAGGGGTTTTCAAAAGAGGATGGAGCTAAACTGTTCTCAGTGGTGTCAGATGACCGAACAAGGAGCGACGGTTTCAAGTTGCAGCAAGGGAAGTTTAGATTAGATATTAGGAAGAATTTTCTCAATAGGAGGGCAGTAAAACACTGGAACAGATTACCCAGAGAGGTGGTGGAATCTCCATCCTTGGAGGTTTTCAAGACCTGGCTAGACAAAGCTTTGGCTGGGATGATCTAGTTGGGGATGGTTCTGCTTTGAGCAGAGCAGGGGATTGGACTAGATGACCTCCAGAGGTCCCTTCAAACCCTAATATTCCATGATTCTATAATACAGGGGACAACAAGTTCCCTATCGTTCCAAATTGGAAAATACAGAAATTCCATCACCCACATGCACCTTTCTATAGTCATGCACATGTGTCATCAGCATGGCTGGGCTCTTTAGGTTGCTACAGAGACCCTGCAAGATGGGCTGAGAGACTAGATTTTCAGTGGCCATATCTACATGAGACACTACCGCACTTTAGCATTGGGGAGCACTAATCATGATGTGATGCTACTGCTCAGTAGTAACAAGCGCATTGCTACTGCACAGCTGCATCAGAAGAAAACCATGCAGGGATGCTACTGCGCACTAACACTGGTTACTGTGCAGTCATTTGGTATTTGCATAACCAAGTACTAAATAACGTGACAGTAACAACTGCACAGTCCACTGTCTGTGTAGACACAGCCAGTAAATACCAGCACAAGAAAGGTAGTACACTTGGTCAGAGGATTTTAAGTTGTGAAAGCAAACACATGGTGAGACTCAGGGATCTTGTTCCAATAAAGGATCTGGAGGAAATAATGCTCTAGACTTCATAGACTTTTAATCCTGTTTCCCTTCCAAATGTGGCTTGTCTCTTTCAAGCTGCCCCTGTTTCTGTCCTGTCTCATCCCTGCACTTGGCTCCTCATCCCAATTCCATTTTCCTCATTTAGCCAATCCTAACCTCTGCTAAATGGAGCCTTCACTTGCCCCTAATTAGTTTCCATGCCCATCAATTCCTAGTCTTATTCTTTCAAATTCTCCATTTCCATACCAGTCTCTTTTCCTCTATCATTCACACTTAATTCCTGTGGTACAGCCATTCCCAGTTCCCCACCAGAACCTTTCCACCTCCTTACCCCAAATCAATTTACCCAGCTAATCCTCATTTTCCCTCTAGTTTTTTATCTAATCTAATTTTACCTGCACCATAGTCTTCAGTCAGTCTATGGATTTTCAGTCCAAGTTTCCTCCCAAATTTTCAGTCAGTCCCAGTCTCTTATGCTGGACAATCCCACTTTTATTGCCCAACTAGTCCTGCTGTCTATCAGCGTCCAATCCCAGTCTCCCTGGCAGCCAGATCCAGGCTCTACTCCCCTGCATATTCAGGTTCCATTTTCCCTGTCTTCCCATATCCCCTCCCTCAGCAAGCAACCTCCAGTCGCACTCTTCATTCCAAAGCTTTTTTCCGTATATTCCCCTGCACAGGTCCAGTATTTGTTCACCCAGCATTTAAATCCAGAAGCAGCTTGCTGGGGTCATTAGGAGAATAGAACAGACAAGCTCTCTAGTCTGTTTAGATGCTTTTACCAGCAGCCAGCATGACCTGTAGCATCTCAAAGTTACAATTGCAGATAAAGTCTTGTCTATTCGATGCTGAAACATGCTTAATACAGACAATATCTCCAGGGGAATTTAACTACCAGAATTCATGAAGTGTCCCCTGAGTATGTATGCACAGAGTCTTATAATCTGGTTAAATGTAAACAAATGTTCACAGGAATGGAAAGAAGACACATTTGTAACACAGGCTACCCCTACTAGATTTAAGTCAAACTCATAGTAGTGATGGTACCTTATAAAAAAAATGTAAAAGGTTGGAGAGGCTATCAAGATTTTTAAGCATCTGTAGAACAGCATGCTTTTCCCCTAGACCATTCTCAGCAGTAGCTGCATGCTTTTGGTTAAAATTCTCTTTAAGTAAAGAAAATAATTTAACCTGCAGATACCAAGCCTGGAAAATTCCATCCCAAGCAACTATAGTCTGAAAACATGTTAAGCAACTAAAAATAGGGTTTTTTCCAACACTCCTTTATAACTATAATAACAGATAGTGTTACCAGCCCCACCTATAACTAGTTTTCTAATTACCCCACATTTTGTTGAAGCTTTTTATAGACAAATAAATAATTGACCACTTGTCCCTAATTTCAAAATATTATACATAGCATAACTACATACTAACTGAACAGTAAAAAGTAGAGGTTTCTCAGGAATAAGAAAATCTAGGACACTGTTGTGCTGTATGGTGCTAATTGATTCAGAATGAACTTAAATGTGTGACAATCTAACCAAGCAATTTGAGCTTTTTAACACTTCAGCTGCTACATTTTAATGAGCATTAGGGCACCAATGTCTTGTTAAAGGCCAAATTATCTACATCCTAAAAGTGTTTTGTTTGTTTGCTTGTTTTGCTTTTGTTTTGTTTTGTGCCCTCCCACCCCTCCACAACCACACCACTGATTTTAGTGCCTACTAACCATAGACTTATAATTGGGCCTTTAAGTGAAATAATAGCATAAATCAGAAGTACTGAGGATTTGTAGAACAATCAAAGTAATATTCCTAGAAAATGCTGGATTATTGAGCACTCTCTATTTACAGCATATAATGTTTAAAACGAATTCAATAACAAACCACCCTTTGACACTGAAAGATGAGAATATACAAAAAGCAAGAGATTAAGTAGGTTAAAGTTTTGATTGCATGTACAATAGGCATTACTTTATCATTTATAGTTTGTCCCTTTTTGAGGGAGACGGCTGGCAAATGCATGATGGCTTATTTACCTTCTTGGAAAAAAAGAAAGAACCAGTTATTGACTGACTTTCCTATTTTTTGTGTCCATTAGAAGGATATACGGAAATAATTTCCATTAAAAAAGAGAAAGGTGAGTTTGTAATTGGCAACCTGTTTGTCGTAAGTTATGTTCTCTTTATCATAATGATGCAGGTCATGAGTTACAACATGAAATTTTGTTTCAAGGCAGAGCTAAGAATTTTCTAATAAATGTTTTTGGCTGTAAAATGTCACTTTGAAACAGAACATTTTTTTGGATCTTTTGATGAAAATTCCATTAGGAATTTTAGGTTGCTCAGGTCCAGAATGAAAAATAAACTACTTACTGAAACAAATTTCTTTCATCACAAGAGCCAGAACAAGAGTGCCACCTCCAAATATCCAATGGTCTAGTAGTTAAAGCACTTATATAGAATGTGGAAAACCAGCTTCAAGCCCTTTCTCTGCCTGATTCAGAGCAGATACTTGAACCTCAGCCTTCCTCATTCTGGGTGAGTGCCCTTATGTTAGTGAAACTCTGTCTCTAGTTTTTCATGAAAATCTCTGAAAGTTCTCAGGACTGTCTCAATGTAGAACAGAAAAAAATGGCAAATCTTGAAATTTTTTACAGAATGAGAAAATGATTTCCTGTCTTGAGTCTATTTGAAAAGCCATCAGAAGCACCATATTTGAGCACTGTTATCAAGTACACTATTAAGCTGGACAAAGACCTAACCATATGTGAGTCAGGCAGAAGGGGTGCAAAAGGAAAAATCACTAGATAGAATATACTGTCATTTTTGACAAACCTTTCTGTGCTCTTCCATTTGATGTGACTTAGCAGTCAATAGATAGACCTTGCACCTGTGTTAATATTACTGGGGGCCCTGCAATCTCTTTCAGATTAGAACTGTCATTCTGAAAAGCCATTTTTTTTTATATTGAGGCAACAGGAAAGTAAAAGAAACAGATGCCAGAAAATCCATTGCATGAAAACTAACTTAACTGCTAGCATTCCTCTTTTCATTTTCCCAAATACGTAATTGACTAATTTGAGCGCTGTTATCAAGTACACTATTAAGCTTTCCTTTGAAAACCATGTCAATTTTAATTTCAGAGTTCATTTCTTTTATAAATTCACCATCCCTAACACATTAAGATTTTTTCTTTAAGCTGAACACTCATGTTTTCCAGATCCTTTAAATAGCTGAGAAGGCAATAGACAGAAGTATGACTATAAAAAGCTGATTCTGAAGTGCCACAAAGGTAGAGAAACTTCCCACATGCAAGAGTCTAGGAAAGAATTACTTTCAAATGTGACTCCAGAGTTTTTGAAGGAATGATAGGGCAGGTCATTTGAAGAAAAAAAAAAGTAATGATTTTAGTATGTCCCACCCTGGACATTCAAGAATAATCTTAATAGAACTTCAGTATATTCAGAATAGGTTATAAAATATAAAATCATGAAATGCATGTATGGGTTCAAGAGTCTTCAAGCCCATGAAAATATTCTGGGTAGTAGTAGGAGATGTGTATTAGGGAACAGTTGATTTATATGTTGTATGTAGATTTTAATATAGACCACTGTCAGTTTTGTCAGTGTTATGCTATAAAACTAGAGTGTAAAGAATATGTTGAATCTTTTAACTATAAATCTTGTTGATTTATAAGAGTTGGTTCACTACTATGTTACCATTGTTTTATGGCAACTCAGTTGAAATTAATTAAATTACACAATCATTAAACAGAAGTAATTTATTGAAGCAGGCTTATTGTCTGGAAACTACAAACATTAACAAATCATTGTCATCTTTGTTTCCCCAGCTCCTGTCCGATACTTCCAATGTGTCTTCCTTGATGGGCATAATGGATATGGATTGCAATTCCCCATTACTTCAGCCCCCAGCCATGAAGAAAAATCTAGACATTCAAAGGCTTCTAAGAGGAAGACAAAGGCACCAGGGCAGTAGAGAGACTTGTAACCTGTGGATTTTTCAGATTTTGCACTTTACTACTTCTACTGAGGTCCAGCAACATTACAACGGACCTGTTATTGTAAAGATGTGATTTACTAAATCACCTATACTTTGAGAAGATTTTTTTATTATTTTATGAATGGTGCAGAGGGAAAAGGAGTGGCTATGAGCACTTTGACAAATGTAGAAATTCAAAAATACCCCATTTCTTGTGGAAATGGCGTGGTGTTGAAATAGTTTGTCAAGTTGTGGGCACATTTTGTTCTGCCACTTCTGCTTTGTATCTCTCTCTCTTGCCTAATTGCTTGGTATTAAACTGTGCCTGTTTTTCCATTTAATCTTTAAATGGTAAAATGTGTGAAACTCTTATTTCAGCAAGTCCTTTTACAAGGCTACCTGAAATCCTACATCATTTCTTCTTCATGTTCACTCAGAACTTGACAGGAAGAAGCCTCACTAAAGAAAGAAAATGTGCTTCTTGTCTGGTGCTATTTTTATATATAATTTACCAGTTTAATTTGAAGCACATAGCTTAGCTTTAAACAGCTCAGTATGCTGGTGGTGAGGTTCACTATCAACATCTCATTAATGACAACTATTTACCTTCAACTTGAAGACAAGCAATAAGGATCTGCTATGTTTGTCCCAAAGCATTTTCCAGATTATAACTGTTCACTTTCTATGTCTCAAAATGAGTGGAGAAAGTGAGGCAAGATGGAGCTCTTAAAAGAGGAGATGAAGTAAAGAGGTAAAGCTATGAAGGTCTCAGAAATGGGAAGGAAATCCTTCTGGTACCTCTACATCTCTTCTTTGGATAAATTTCTTATCAAGTCAGATCTATTTGCTGTGTACACTGTGCAGATGGATAGTACTGGAAAGTGCTAGATTTATTGTGAAGAAAAGTCAGAGGGGGAGCTATATTAAGATACATCACTTGTGAAACCATGCAAAGCCAAATTTGCAGGTAAACGTCTCAATTTTATTCAATTTTTTTTAGCGTGGAGGAGGGGCTCACTCAGCAAAAACAAACAGGGAAAATGGTGTTTAATTTTGGTGTTTAATTTTGTTAGATGAGATGAATGAGCTCCTCTAGCTACTATCTGGCTTCCTTCAAAATGCACTCTACTGTCCACTATTTCTAGGTTGAGCACTTGAAGTAAACATACCTGTCCTCAACCATCTTTTGTTTATTTCTTTAGACAGAGCTGATAATCAAGTATAAAAAAGAGGATAAGATGATCTTTGCTCTATGTGAAAATGCCTGATTGTAAATCAGGATTGTGTTGTCTGGCAATGTAAATAATAATGTCTTTTTGCAAGCTGCTATTTGTTTTCTTCTTTACTATATTTATGCATTTAATCTGTGACATGTACAGATGTAATCTCAAGTTTATAGTTACTAGGTGAAGTATCATGAGATTATTACATGGCATAATCTGGTTGCTTCTGTAACTATATATTGTTTTTTTCAGCAAAGGTCTCAGTGCTGTAGTGGTTTTATTTCAATTGGATGATTGACTTATATGGATTTTGGGTAACTATATCCTAGATGGCAATTCAGTATGGGATATGGATTTTTTTGTTTTTTTACCTTCAGGTCACTGGGTCAGTATGATAGTGGCTGGAAGTCATTACCCTCTGATTGCTGTTCAATGCCCTATATGAAATGAGTTCTGGATCTCAACACTCTCCATATAGGTGCCTACATCATAAATCCATAGACAACCACCCTCCTTCACCACAGGCAACCTAAATAGCAGTCTCTGCAGACGTGCAGAAGCTGAACCTCCCCTTTTTGCCCCTAGAGTGGTTCTTCCTGATCAGGAAGGGGGCAAACTAAAAAGGTGAATTTACTGTATCCTCTAGAATCTGTTCTGTGAATAAATAGAGGCTTGCAGAATGCAGAGTTGACAATCCAGAGTTGACAACTTTACCTATAAACAGGCAAACCACAGTTTTTCTCAGTAGGGATTTTATTCCCCCATACACACCCCATTTTATCCCCCTCCAAAAAATATATCTTTATGTATGTATGTACGTATGTATATTATTACACTGGTGGTTGTCCTGTAGTATTACTACTAAGACTGTCTTAACTAACTTTCAGAAAACTGGCTAATTTAATTTTGAGCTTTGTCCAAGTCCAATAATCAGCAGATGTAATCTTTCAGTAAAAATATCTCAAATAATATGTACATTTCCTTTTTTGCACTGTATTTCATCTTACTTTCCCACTGCTTGTTAGTTGAGAGGAAGGACATGAATATGTTTGAGAGCCCATGAATATGTTTGAGAGCCATCAAAATGGCTCTGAAAAAAGTAAATAGTTCACTAGTGGTATAAACCTGGCAATATATTATTACCTTCGTATCTCAGCCACAGACAAAAATATTATTGGACATTGGTCTTGAGTCAAAATAGTAGTTTCTATACTCTGGAGTGTGTAAATTGAGTTTATCTGAAACCTTAATGAAGTGTTGCTTAAATTGCATGGTTTTACTCAAATTAGCCTAAAATATTGCTAAAGTATATATGCTTATTGTTTGTTTTGGAAAATAAAAAATATATAAAAAGTTTGCCAATGGTTGTGGGATGCTTTTCTGATTCTGAGAAGGGAGGCAAGGAATGCATGGAAGTAACTTGATTCACCACATTATGAGTACATACAAATTTGAATATCCAGGGGCATGACATCTATAAATACAATTAGTTGTTACGGTATCATTCTGTGTATGGTTTGAACTTGATACCTACTTTGCATTTAGCATCATATGCTATGACAAGATTCTTTTTTTCCTCCACACTTCACTTGTGTATTCCACTTCAGTGTTTTGAAGCTTGTGCTTGCTACAGTCAGTGAATGTCTCCTCCACTCATTTACATGTGTACCTTTACCCTAGCTGGGACCATATCTAGCCTGTCTGCCTCTTCCACCAGACCCAAAACAAGAAATTGTAAGATAATGGAACATTTTGGTAGTAGTTGCCTTTACATAGTAGTCACCAACAGTGTAACTAGGGGTGGGTGAGAAGAGAACAAGACCCAAGCAGCAACTTAGAAAGGGCTCAAGAATGATGGACCCCATCACTCCAGTCATGGCTACCATGCAGGGTACAGAAATTGCTGTTTATGCTTCTGGTAGTTACTATGTATGCCAGACTTTTTTTAGACTAAGTAACTCAAGTTGGCTGCAGGTGACATGCTGTTTCCCATAGAGATTATTTAGTATCTCAGAGCCATAGCCTGAAATCTCATCCTGCTATAGAGAGTAAGTGCCTGACTCAGAGCTGCAAGCAAATGCTTCCGTGCATTCAAGTCACAGTTCTCCTCTGAAGATAGTCACCTCTCTCTAGTTTTTCCCACACCTGAGTAGGGCTCAACTTTTTTTAGAATGTGGCCACAGCTAAAGCGGGTAGTGATGATTGATGGCTAGAAAAAGGTATTTAGGGATTTGGTTTTAGGAATTGGCTCATAGGTGGATTTGTATTAGAATAATGGTTCAGGGGAACAACAAGGGTTAATTGGTTTTTAAAAGACTGTTTGTGATGCAGTTTCCTTCAAGGCCAGTGACTGTCTGATATAAAATTCAGAAATAGGGTTGGGGAGAGTTATAAATATTTTTTTTCACATTTCTGCTCAGCCATCTTCTTTGGGCTAAGCAAACCCAATTCCTTAAGTATTTCTTCTTAGGGCATACTCTGTTTTTTGGATTTATTTGTTTGTTTGCTCTCCTCAGGACTCTATGCATCTTTTCTTCATCCTTCCTTAATTGTAGTGCCCAAAGCATAATACAGTTCCCCAGATAAGGCTTTACCAGATCTAACTAGAGTGAAAAGATACCTCCACATCTTCCATAAGACTTGCCTATTTATGTATTGCAATCTGACAGGATTTTTGTTTTGGTCTCATTTTGTAATAGTATGAGTTTATTGAGTTTTAGATCAACAACATTGTGGGGGTCTAGGATTTTGAAAAGGGGTGTGCAGGTGGTATGATGCATCATCCCATATAATACAAAACATTTTTCTCCACTTTACTAAAACTTCTAGTTTCTCTTTATGTACTAGAGGCTTAGCACTAAGTTATTCAGTTTAAGATCAATTCAAAAACAAATATCACTTTATTGGAATGTGGACTAATTTTCTAACTTTATATTAAGTTTAAAAAATACAACAAACTAGCCAAAAATAGTCCAAAGATGTTGCTTTATTAGTCATGTATTCATTACAGTTAAATATGCATCTCTTATTCAGATTAGTTAAACAAAATCTAGCCTTCTTGAGCATCTTGACAGTGCATCCAACACTTTACTTTCAATCATTTTCACACTGGAGTGAGTATTCCCCTAAATTAATATTACCACACCCAAGTTAAGGTTTTGAGCTAGAATTAAACACAGCCTTTTGGGCTGTGAAATAGAAGGAAGATGTTATCAGGAATAGCTAACAGAAGGCACATCTACACAAAATGCTACTTCTCAGTGGTTACTGAACATATATTTAGTACTTGTATAAGCAAACACTAAGTAAATGTGCAGTAACCAGAGTTACTGCACAATAGCACTGGTGAATGCCTTTTAAGTGATGCTACTGTGCAGTAGCCTAATACTACTGTGCAGTAGTGCCTCAGTTGTTGCCATGTGATGCAGTAATATCAAGCAGTATGCAGTAGTATCAAGCTACTGCACAGTCACTCTCTCATGTAGATGCACCCAGACAGAAAAATTGCAAAAGAAAGAGCAGCTTGATTAATGCAACATCACGACCATTTAAAAAAAGAAAGGGTCATTAACACCCAAGTAGAGTTTAGCAGGAATAAGACACATTATAAAGAGCCATGGTGTCAATTAACTCCCTCGCTGCTGCCTGAATAGAAATGCTGCTGCCTCTCCCAGACATTTGGTTTTAAAGTCTGGGTGGAAAAGAAATCAAAGGTGTGGGTGCACCTGCACCACTGCCCCTAACCACTTCCCCTGATCCACAGTATCCACTTCGCCCACCACATTCTTTTCTCCAGAATTGCTGCCTAACCAATTTTTCCCCAGCTGTAGTTCCTCAGTTGATCATTGCTACCATTAGATACTGGATTTACAAACCAGTCTTGATATCTTGTTCCATGGGGGCACAACCTCTCTAAGTGACTGACCATAACCCCTTCCATTCTAGAGTAGGAGAATTTTATTGATACACAGTAATAGCAAATAAAACTAATGCAAGCAAAATGATCCTACATATATACCAGTTCTAGGGTTTAACAAGGAGATGGTACATCCAGCCAATATGTGAATTCCACCTCATGGTTCTTGCTTGAATCAGAATATCAGCAAGCTTGGAGGTTGGGGGCTGATGTCAAATTGCTGGCCTGAAGATCCCTCTTTTTGTATTTTTTGCTTTTGATGACTTTTCATTTCCAGGTACTGTTCATTGGCTTTCCTGTGGTCATCATGCTGTCCACATTCTGTCCCGTCAACCTAATCATTTGTTTCTTTAAACACAGCATGTGTACACATCTTAATTTGGTCATTCCCAGCCTCCTAATTTGGTCATTCCACCAAAACTGGGGACTTTTCACCAGGCTGCAGCTGGTCATTTTGACCTGATGCTAATTCTGCATGTTTCTATCATGTTGTGGGTTTTAAGGGATAGTGGCTGTTTTGCTGCTGCATGGTTTTCAGTTTCCCAGGATGTATGTGCCTGTCTGTCTGCTAACTTTGGACCCTTGGACTGCATCCAGATGAACACAGTCATGCAATATGGGGCACCGCAGACCCATCTGCAACACCACATAATGCGCATTCAGGCATTTCCTGTGCTGCTACCTTGCAGCATGTGTGTATATGTTGGGGGGGTTGACCCCTGGAGATCCAGAGGTCCAAGAAACCTGCACAGAAAAAAAAACAGGGCAGCGCACACAGGGATAACATGTACCACCCAAAACTAGAGCCTGGCTGGCTGGAGCCACACTCTGGCTGCCGGCCAGGCTCCAAGATGCAGAAGCAACACAGCTATAGCTTCCCCAGCCCCCAGGACTCCAAGTAAGACTGCTAGGACCAGCAACTGTGGTCCTAGCCTCCCCTACCCAACCTGGTATAATCTGCCATGTGCCAGAAGGCGCATGGCATGGGTGTTTCCCAGGGACAACTAGCAATGGCACAAGGTGTCCCACTACTACTTGTTCCTGGGGAACCAAATGTCTGCACTGATCTGAACATGGCCTTGGATGTGAAAATGCTGAGAATATGAATCTTCACCACAAACAGACTTTAGAAAATGATTAACCCTTGCTGTTCCCCTGGACCATAGTTCTAATGCAAGCCAATATCTAAAAGCAAATTTCTAAATATAAATCTCTAGCCATCACTACCTACATATTTTGGGTCATTCTTTGCAATCCTTCTTACTGATTTGCATCTGATTTGAGATAATTTTCCATCATTAGAAATTTTAATCCAGTCCTCTAAAGTGCTTGTAATCTGTCTCAATTTGGCATCATTTGTAAATTTAATAAATGAATTATTTATCGTCCATCATTCTTTATTGTATGCCCTTTATTGGATGTAGCCTTAAGTGACTTAAGACTGTGTGGAGGTGAGGCATGAGCCACCAAGGCAAGAGACATCCTGGAGGTGCCAGGGGGCTTGCAGCCCTGAGACTTATCAGCAGTCAGATTGGTGGTGTGGGCATGTGAAGCTCTGGCACCATTGCCGCCACACTTTGTCAGTGTGTACCAGCTCTGGTTGACTGGGTGCATGCCATGCCATGTCATAAAGACGTGCCCAGCCTGGAAGGAGGTGGGGAGAGACCGGAACAGGAAGCACAGCAGAAGGAAAGCTGGTTTCCAGTGGAGGCTGACCCAGCAGGGGCAAATGGAGTGAAATGGCTACAGTTCCTGCATGTGAAGACTTGGAGGAGCTTTGTTACTTACCTGAGGGATAATGGATGCAAGACCCGGACCTGTCCCTAGATCAGTGGAGCGGCAACAAGCACGCGATGTCCTGCAGAGATAAAGAAGATGTCTAATCATGAGCGGTTTGAGGGGCAGAGAAAGAATTCTCCTGCAAGCCTCAAACAGCATATTGGGTGTAGAGCCCTTATTAGCTTGATGAGAAGCAAAGCCCCCATCTGGAGCATAGCATGGTGGACATAAGTACCCAGACAGTCCTGCAGACTGAATTGATTATAGGCTTTTTGCATGTACATTACCATTCCACCAAATATCTGGGGACTTTATGGCACGCTAGTGACCATAATAACTAATTAGAGACTGATACCATCAGACTGGCATATGGATGGGATGCAAGGGGAAGCAGAGCCCTGAACAACGTCGCATGACCAATTGATTAACGACACACAAAAATAGGTACCTCCCTTCTCTTTAACATAAAACAGCAAAGCATGGTGGGCTAGACGAGGTACTGCACCATTAACAAGGGTCATTGGAGGTCAAACTGTCATGTCCAAAAGATGGGCACACGGAAAAGAACAACTCAAGACGTAAGCTCCCGCCTAAGGTAACCCATGGATACTTACAGACTCACTTTTGAAAGCATCTCTAAAAAGACTCTCGCTGAAAGTCA